AAATTGCAAAGAAGGCTAATGGCCTCCTCGGCTGCCTTACTAGGAGCGTTGCCAGCACATAGAGGGAAGTGATTCTTCCCACCTATTCGGCACTGGCGAGGCCACATCTGCAATCATATGTCCAGTTTTGAGCCCCCCGCTACAGAAAGGATGTGGACAGATTGGAGAGAGCCCAGCCGATGGCAATGAAAATGGTTCATGAGCTGGGTGCACCTGACTTGTGAGGAGAGGCTGAGGGAACTGGGCTTACTTTGGAGATGAGAAGACTGATGGGGGGATTTAATAGCAGCCCTCAACTACCTGCAGGGTGGGTCCAGAGAGGATGGAGCTGGGCTGGTCTCAGTGGTGGCAGATGACAGAACAAGAAGCAATGGGCTCAAGCTGCAGCAAGGGAAGTTGAGGTTAAATGTAACCTTCTCCCTAGGAGGGTAGTAAAGCACTGGAACAGGTTACCCAAAGAGGTTGTGGAATCTCCATCCATGGAGGTTTTTAAAGGCCTGGGTACTCAAAGCCCTGGCTGGGATGATGTAGTTGGGGCTGGTCCTGCTTTGAGTAGGGGCTTGGACTAGATGTGACCTCCTGAAGTCCCTCCAAGCATTTTTTCTCTGATTCTACGGAAGGATAGCCAAGACTTATTCCTTGAAGAGCTGTGCTCCTGGAAGGAGGAGCACACTGGAGATGGCATTAATGTAAGGCTTTAACTGAGGTATGGATGTGAGTGTGCTGTTTATATAGGCTGGGCCAGCTGAGAGGGACATATGGTTTTGATCTTGAATGTCACTGAGTGTCAGAAACCCAACAGGACTTCCCAGCACCTAGGTCAAGACTGAAATTGGGTTCCTGAGTCACATTTTTAAAAGTACTTAAGCTCCTGAAGATGCAGATAGGTGCCCCATGCAGTTTTTAGAGGTGCCAACATCCATTAGGGGCTTTTGAAAGCATCACTAGGAGACCTTTGCATCTCTAGGGTCTTAAAGACCTGCAAATGTCTGGCTTCTAGGCTCTGAAATTTCCTACTCTACCCCATGCAATTTTATTGCAGTTGGTTGAACACTGGGGAAAAATAGTCATTGATCAAGTTATGCAACATTTATGCAATACATCCACACGATGGATTTAGGAAATCATAGTCAACTAGATAAAGTGAAGTTTGCATGTTCAGCAAAGATCAGATCAGCAAGGATTCAGATTTCTGTCTCATGAGCAGGCTAGCTATTTTGTGGCATTCAGCAACTGTCCATAATGTCTATTAGTTAGATAGCACTGAAACCAGGGGGTTGGTAAAGAAAAGATCTAAACATCTCTTTGGCTAGCTGTCTACTTACTTTCCTGTCATCACTCCATACACCTTGTGAGACATGCTAAAACAGGCTGCCCCTCCATAGTCATTAATTGGGTCTTGAGAAAACTTTAAAAAGTCTTCTATTCATGAAGACAAGGTTCTTTGGGTTAATCTAATATTTTTTATTAGACTAACTAAAATATTTGGAAAAATTCTTTGCAGGGTTTCAGGTATAAACACCCTTTGTCAGGCTGAGGAAGTGTCTGAAGTTGGTCTGTGCTCTTCCTGGATGGAATAGAAAAGAAGTTAGAGACCAGTATGCACAGGATAAAGCCAGCTGGTGAAAATGCATATTGAGGCAGTCAATGGGTGAGAGACGGTGGTGGGAGGGGGGAAGAGCAATGAAGACCTGGTGATAAGAATAGAGGTGGTAAATAGTAGAGGGGTTACCTGGGCTGTCAGATGTTAGGCAGGTTACAATGTGTCATAAATCCAATGTCTATATTTAGTCCATGATTTTTTGTATTTGGTAGGGTGATGACATGAAGTTTGTAGGCTTGTATATAAAAGGTGTTTTGTGAATTCCCCTTGAGTGTTAAAACGGAAAGATTGGGGAGAACATGGTTTTCTTGTGAAAAATCTCTCAGTTCTAATCCTCAAAGGGAAAGTACAAAATATCTTTCACAGATGAACCTATGAACTTCACTTCATCAACTTTTTGGATACAAAAAATCATGGACTAAATATAGAAATGGGATTTATGACATATTATAACCTGCCTAACATCTGACACCCCAGGTAACCTCTCTACTCTTTATCAGTTGTATCCTTATCACCAGGACTACAGTCGGCTTCCCTCCCAAGCCCCACAACATCCGTCTCTCATCCATTGACTGCCTCAATTTGCATTTTCACTAACTGGCTTTCTTGCATGAATATTGGCCTCTGGCTTCTTTTCTATTCCATCCAGGAAGAGCACAGACCAATGAAAACACAGCCTGATGAAGGTTGTATGTTCCTGAACACATGCAAAGAAGAATTATTTCAACTATTTTAGTTGCTGTAATAAAAGATATCAGATTTACCTAAAGAACCTTGTCTGCCTGTCCTTAGACCAACACAGCTACAACCTTTACCTTCTATCCAGCAATACTTTTAATATAACATCCCACAGTGAGCCAGCCCAAAACTCCCACCCTTCTCTGCTCAACTTTGTTTTAATATCTATCTCCTATCTGTTTTTCCACACCCACCACCATCTCATGAGAGTACTGTTTCTAGTGACTCTTCTCTGCACCATTGGTTTGCTTCTGTCATCAGAACCAAGGGGACTTGCTCTCCATGTTGTCCATGCCACTCCTCCTCCATGCGGTTGTCCCTGCTGTTCATGACACCCGATAGTCCACATTCCCAGAGTGCAGGGTCCCTCCTGGAAAGGAATTCAGTTCATTGGTGAAAAGAGTTCAGAGAAGCAGGTGATTTTGGAAAGGTCCAATGCCTCGTTCCAGGTGAAGCTATCTATACCTAGAAAATGCAGAGCCTCTTTGAAATGCAATTGGTTAAGTTTCTGGTCTAGATTGGGAAACTGGTTCTCAAAAGCCAAAGGCAATTTTTAGTGAAGAAAGCAGATTTAGGGTGTAATCAGAGGCATGTATTGGGAGTGGTGAAAGCCATGCTATAACTTGGCATTCACCAAAGTGTCAGGCTGCCATGGGGCTTTGCGGTGGGAGGTCTAGATCCAGGTCCAGATAACCACATGGTAAGGAGCTGAGAGAGGAGAAAAAAGAGATTAAGTGCTTTATTGGGAGAAATCCCCTCCCAGTCATTGTCAAAGCTTGCAATCCTTCTTAGTCACTGCAAGCTACCATTGGGCAGGTATTGCATTATACACCCACACCAAGCGTAGGAAGACAGTAATCTGGCATCCTCCTCAACACCCAGGCAAACCCAGCCCAGCTTCTGGAGCAGATAAAAGGGACCATCTCTAGCCCCAGAGTCAGAGGGACCTTCCTGCATCCTCCCTGCACTCAACTACTTGCAGCACAACTCCAGTGACCCTTCTTCTCTCCATTTGTCTCTTGCCTTGAGAGGATCAGACATGGCTCTGCAGTTACGTACTAAAAGCATCGGAGGCAGCAGAAGCGGCTATAGCTCATCCTCTGTCATGGCTGGTGGCGGTGGAGGGGGAAACAGAGTCAGGAGCAGCTACAGTTCGCATGGAGGTGGCGGACAGTGTGGTGGATTCAGCAGCAGGAGCTATGGCGGAGGCGGAAGAATTTCCTCTGGGTCTTATGGTGGAGGATTTGGCTGCCGAGGAGGTGGCTTTAGTGGTGGGATGATTGGAGGAGGAGGTGGTGGCTATGGAGGAGGAATGGGTTGCATTGGAGGAGGACTAGGAGGCATGGGAGGTGGAATGGGAGGAGGAATTGGAGGAGGCATGGGAGGTGGCATGGGAGGAGGAATGGGAGGAGGCATGGGAGGTGGCATGGGAGGTGGCATGGGTGGTGGCTGCTTTGGTGGAGGTGGCTTCAGTGGTGGACCTGGCATGGGACCAATGATTGGTGGTGGACCTGGCATGGGACCAGTGATTGGTGGTGGACCTATGGGTGGTTTTGGCGGTGGCATTGGAGGTGGTGGCTTTGGTGGACCTGGGAGAGGTGACCCTGGGTTCCCAAGAGGCATCCAACCAGTTCAGGTCGATCCCAGTCTCCTGAAGCCAGTCCAAGTGGAGATTGACCCCCAGATCCAGCAGGTGAAACAAAATGAGAAAGAGCAGATCAAGACCCTCAACAACCAGTTTGCCACCTTCATTGACAAGGTGAGGAGATGGGGCAGTGCTTGCAGGATGGGCGCTTTGAGTTGTTTTGCCTGTGTGTACAAGACTTGGCCTTTCCAGGTCTGTGTTGGTAGGAAAGGCAGAATGAGAGTGGTTCTTCTGTTAATCTCTGGTCAGGGACTTGATTGAATACCTCATCCACAGACTCTCTTTGTTGAATACTTCATCCACGCCCAAGCTATGCTTCTGCTTTAGCTGACGAATGCACTAGTGGGTTAGGTTGAAGCCATCATGTCACTGTCAATCTCCCTTAGCCAGTCTGCCTCCTGCATATCTCTCCTCCCAAGCAGAACCACGGGATGTCCAGTAAGCTCTCAGTAGGGTGAGATATTCAGCTCATGCAACCTTGCCTGCCTCTTTCCCACTAGTGCCAGATCTGCAGTTGCAAGTTTTCCCTGGGTGGTGAACTTTGTTTGAGTGACCCCCAAATGTTTGAGAGAGTTCAGAATGGGGAAAAGAGGCAGGAAATAGTTTTGCACGTGTGTCCCACTCCAAATCCTGGAATAGAGTACAGAATGGGGGGAAAGAGGACACAAGGGAAGGTGGGGGGTGGGGAGGGAGGGGAGATATTCTTGCAAATATGTGTCCACCACCAAATTCTGAAATTTAATAACTGCAGAATTTGCAAACCTTTCTGACTGTGGTGCTGGCGATTTAAAAGTATGGGGAGGAGAGATTTCTTAGAAAAGCAAGTTGACATTTTTCACAGTTTGCTTATTTAATTCCCAGACTTTCATAGTTCAACGTCATAGAGTCATAAAATCATAGAAAATGAGGGTTGGAAGAGGATTTAGGCAGTCACTACTAGTCTAACCCCCTGCTCAAAGCAGGACCAGCCCCAACTAGATCATTTCAGCCAAAGCTTTGTCTACCTGGATCTTACAAACCTCCAAGGATGAAGATGCCACCACCTCTCTGGGCAACCTGTTCCAGTGTTTTCCTACCCTCCTAGCGAGAAAGTTTTTCCTAATATCTAACCTAAACTTCCCTTGCTTCAACTTGAGCCCATTGCTCCTTGTTCTGGCATCTGTCACCACTGAGAACAGCCCAGCTCCATCCTCTTTGGACTCACCCTTGAATGTCCTTAATGTCTTCACATAACTATGAAGCTCTAAAGTTATTTTGAAACTACCTTGCTTTTCTGATTCAACAGGATCCTTGCTTGACTGTTTATGTTCTTCCGGACTGGATGGAAAATGGCTGATCTCATTGCCCGTTGTGTTTCAGGTCCGGTTTTTGGAGCAACAAAACAAGGTTCTGTCCACAAAGTGGGAGCTCCTCCAACAGCAAGGACATAGTGGTCCAAGGAAGGACCTCAGCAGCCTCTTTGAAAGTTATATCCAAAACTTGAAGAGGCAGCTGGACTCTATCCTTCATCAGAGAGAACAGCTGGAGTCAGACCTGCAGAACATGCAACCCCATGTTGAAGAGTACAAGAAAAAGTAAGTGGAAAAGAAACCATTTGCAGACACTCCAGCTCCAATCTGCTTGTTCTTTCAGGATGTTCTTTCCCAAGTATCAACTCTTTGTTAGCAGTTATAGCCTAAGATGTTGGAAATGTCCCTGAAGGGAGGGAGGTTTCCACATACAGAAAAAACAAATGACTACTCTTCTGCCATGGGAAGTCAATGATGGTTGATCAGTGAATTTTCACTCTAATATTCAAGACCTGTTTACAAAAAAAACCCTCATACCAAATGTGTGAAATATATATAAATCCCACTCAGACACCTAGGTTGTTCACATTATACTTGGCTTGTGGAAGATTACAAAATAAAGTTATATGTCAAGAGTAATAGAGGAAACAATTCAAAGCTATGTACAGATTCAAAGGCTCAGCTTTTCTGGCTATTCTTCTTCAACTTATTAATAGCAAGTATTGGTTGAAGATCCCAGTGTGGCCCAAGAGATTTGGACACCTCTTTCTCATCCAAAGGTGTGCATGTGTTTGTATGTGTGGGCACAGAGATACCCTGAGAGAAGAGGCACCTTGGTGCTCATGGGAAATGGGCTACTAATTTTTCCCTATAATAGATTAATAGATTCATAGATGTTAGGGTCAGAAGGGACCTCAATAGATCATCGAGTCCGACCCCCTGCATAGGCAGGAAAGAGGGGTGGGTCTAGATGACCCCAGCTAGATACTCATCTAACCTCCTCTTGAAGACCCCCAGGGTAGGGGAGAGCACCACCTCCCTTGGGAGCCCGTTCCAGACCTTGGCCACTCGAACTGTGAAGAAGTTCTTCCTAATGTCCAATCTAAATCTGCTCTCTGCTAGCTTGTGGCCATTATTTCTTGTAACCCCCAGGGGCGCCTTGGTGAGTAAATACTCGCCAATTCCCTTCTGTGCCCCCGTGATGAAATATGCATAACCTAGTTTGATCTAGAGGCCTCAAATCAAATACAGGATGAACATACAGAGGTGAAGCTCTGGTGGAGCAAGGCATGGAGCTCAAGGATGTAAAATTAGACATGAGCGAAATACTGACCTGTAGTTTGGAGTTAGATGTTGGCCCCTGACATTGCACTGGACTTGCACCCATAATATGCTCTCTCTGTCTGTGTGCGTGTACAAATGTGTGTTTGTGAGAATCAGTTTGTTGGTTTCTTACTCAGTAAAAGTCAGACAAGCCAACTTGTCTCTCTTTACCTTGAACAGGTACGAAGAAGAAATCAACAGGCGCGCGACTGCCGAGAATGAGTTTGTGGTGCTGAAGAAGGTGAGTGATGCAGCTAAAGAAAGGATGCAGGGGACAGGACACACCTAAAAACACCCGAGTTTGGGAGTTGTGGGTCCTCTGTGACTGGGAAACCCAATTAGACAGCAACATAATGTCCACCTGTCTCCCGCTGAAGCACTTGCAGTGTCTAGCACTGAAGGCTCTCGCCATAAGAACACGGTTTAATGACTTGGAAGCAAGGTTTCTCTCCAGATAACACAGGCTGCGGCTCTCTCTGCTGTGCTCAGGGCTGCTCCAAGGAGACTGTCCCTTCGATCTTTCTTTCAGGACGTGGATAATGCCTACATGAATAAAGTACAGTTGGAAGCAAAGGTGCAAGCCCTGATGGATGAAATTGACTTCCTGAGACACGTGTTTGAGGAGGTAAGGAGCTCCCCCTTCTCTTGGGCAGCTGGCAATAGAGCTGAATCATGACCAGCTCTCACCAGAGCTATTGTGATACAAACGTGAAAAAGAAACTGTTGTGATCTGTCCTCTGAAACACTTGAATCTACAACAGGATATTTCTGGTCTAGTTCAAAACAGTGGGAATTAAGTACAGCAGAGCAATAGCAGGCATGAAACACTCGGCAGAGCTGACCTGTGCTTTGATGCTTTGCAGGAGCTGTCTCAGATGCACACGATAAGTCGCGACTTGTCTGTGGTGGTGTCTATGGATAACACCAGGCACCTAGATATGGACAGCATCATTGATGAAGTCAGGCGTCAATATGAAGACATTGCTCGGAGCAGCAGAGCTGAAGCTGAGGAGTGGTACCAGAGCAGGGTGAGTAATACATTATCGAACAAAGTGGAGAGGCTAAGCATTGCTTGCTCCTGACTGATAGATGCTGCTATTTTACAAAGACATAGGCAAGGAAACTTTCCCTTTAGCTTATGGTGAGATGTCCACATAGGAAGTCCCGCTGCCCTCACAGGTGTGCATGCTTCTGCAGGAATTCTGCAGAGGCCCAAGAGATACGGATATGAGACATTCATGCACATGCGTGGACTTCTTTCAACCATAAACAATCCATGTGGTTTTTCCTGGCTCCCAGTACCTGAGCAAACTCCATTTATGAATGCTCTAGGGATGTCCATAACAGATCTAGGAATTGATCCCGGCACTGCCAGTTCCAACATGGGGTAACCCTTGGGAAACCAGTGGGTGTACACTGGAGTAACTGAGACTTGTCTCCATTTACACTGGTATAACTGAGAGCAGTATGTGTCCCACAGCCTATAAACCCATATATACCTTCAAGCTCAGCACCTACCCAGTCATTGGACAATATCGGTGAGCACTATTGCCTGTAGCCACAACACACCGACTACCTAGCCAGGAAGAAGTTGTTTGCAGGGCTCCGGGTGCTGTGCTGAAAGGTTGTTCTGTGTGTGACACTCAGTATGAAGAGCTGCAGAACACGGCGGGACGACACGGAGACAACCTGCGTAACACCAAGCAAGAGATCCAAGAGCTGACCAGGTGTATCCAGAGGCTGCGATCGGAGATTGAGAACGTGAAGAAGCAGGTAAGGGCCGTGGGCTCTTCATCCACACCGCAGTGGGGCTGGGCCCAGCAATAGCATTCCCAGGGACTACCTGCAGTGGCAGTCGAGATCTGGCTGGTGCCAGGAGCCTCCAGGCCACGGTCCTGGTAAGGAGTGCCTTGCATTGGGTGAGCTCTGAACAGCTTGGGCACCTTGTTGTCCTGTTTTGATGGGGACCGGTCAATACAGACACTTGATGGAAAGCTGAGATTTCCATAAGTGTGTGTTAGAACAGGTCCACATTGGGCGGAAAGTTTTTCAGAATTTGATTTCCAAAGATCATGTGGAGTAAGACTCTTTCTCTGCCCGAAGTTCCACCCTTCATAACTCTTATGACAGAGGGTAGGCCCCGCAGGAAAACTGAGATGTCTCCCTTCTCCTCTTTCAGCATCAGCAGCTGCAGGCAGCCATTGCGGAGGCTGAGGACCGGGGTGAGATGGCCCTCAAGGATGCTAGGTCCAAGCTGCAAGAGCTGGAGGCTGCCCTGCAGAAGGACAAGGAGGAGCTGGCTCGCTTGCTGAAGGAATACCAGGAGCTGTTGAACATCAAGATTGCCCTGGATATAGAGATTGCCATGTACAGGAAGCTGCTGGAAGGGGAGGAGGGCAGGTGAGTGCCATACCCAGGTGATCTGTGCGAGGTGGGATGTCCTTACACAGGCAGGATTCTCAGCTGGTGCAGAACAGTTGTATTTCCAGAGCTTCAAGGAGTGATGAGTTGACGGATCCCACTTGAACATAGGGCCCATTGCCCTTTAGACTGCACTGTGGAGGGGACAGGTGTAATGAGTGCAAGTTTGAAGCAGACACAAGAACGTGGGAGCTGCTATTTACTGAGTCAGACTGGGGTCTGTGTTGTCCAGTAAATGGTCCATCTTGCCCAGTGGCAGAGAGCGGATGCTGAAAGGGAGAGTGGACTGGGTCTGACTAGGGTTTTTTTCCCCTCCTCCTCTCTCACTTGCAGCCTCCAGCATTTAAGGTCTAAGAAGTTCTGATCCTGGGGCTGTGCCCCTAAGTCCCATGCTCAGTAGCTAGTGATGCCCCTATCAGTCCATGCAGTAAACCCTGTGAGAACACTGGAGCTGCTAATAATACCCTCAAAACCGTCCAGACTTGCTGCAGTGTCTATGGCAAGTGCTGCTCGGTATCAGTCGTACATTGTTTTTGTGTTCAGGATTGTGCTGGGAGCTGTTTTGGAGTTTCAGGGGGGCATTGAACAGGTTGTACTGGAAGAAAGGCCCGCATGAATGGTGCTCTTGTGTCTTTGTGACATTTCTCTAGGATATTATATTAGATGAGGTTGAGATGGAAACCCTTGGGCTGAACTGCTTTTTCTGCTGCTTCCCAGCTCTCTCTCTAAAAGAATTCCTCACTCTACAGTTCACTGCCCTGTGTTAAATGGTGAAGTGCTGGTCATTGAAAAATGGCCTTTGCTTTATTTGTTTGCGTATTTGGAGAAGAGATGAACGGAGGTAAAAGAAATATTTCAATGAGATGGCCTGTTTTTATCTCAATCTGTATCACATGATATGTGCAACCGTGTACTTTTTGCCCTTCTTATGATGGCAGTGGAGCTACCTATATTACTGCACTTGGTAAAGGTTTGTAATACAAAAGATGTGAAAATACACATTTTAAGTTTAGCAGTTTCTAATTTAAAGAACACAGTGAGCATATCTAGAGGGTTTATACTCTGTTTAAAGGGATAATCCTGGATTTGCGCATATTAAGAGACTCCTAGCTGCCATTGACCTTAATGGCAACACCGCAACACTGGAAGGACCTTTGTAGAAATATGAATTAGAGGGCGTATTTACACATGCATTTACGCGGGCTTAAATTTACTGCACAGTACATTACTGCGCAGTAAGCTGAAATACATTGGCGTCTACACATGCAGGCGTTAAAGCACATTAACGCTGTGTATGGACTGACTTGGGACTCAAGTTTGATACTTGCACGATGAAGGTATCCAGTATACACTCAAATCGGTGTAAGTCACCATATTTACTGCACCGTATGGGTGTGCACATGTAAGCAAACACCTGTACTGCACATTAATTGTGGTTAATGTTCAGTAAATGCTCATGTGCCCAGACTCTCTTTGTCTGAAATAGTTCAAAGTTGAATGGAGTTAATAAAAGTTGGATATAAAAGTGTGCTCAGGGAACTGCAATGCACTACCAAGGTGAAGTTCACAGCTGGGTGGGTCTCAGTGACAGCAGGACTTATTTTTGCTGGGTGACTGACCTCTGTTTTTTCCCCCCGCACAGGCTGAGTCAAGATATGTCCAATGTGAATGTCTGTAAGTACTTGCCTCTTTGCTTTATTGTGGGTTATTGCTGGAGCTGGGCTCCTGTGGTTGCTAAATGCCTACCTGAGTAGGGTGTTCCCACTGTTCCTCTCTTACTTGCTGCCTCCAGCATACAAGGTCTAGGAAGTTCTGATTCAGTCTCCTGTTATTGCTGTGCTTTCTGCTGTCACAGCCATTCTCAACTCCGTTAGTATCACAAACTCGCTGATGGGGCTTGGTCTGGGGGTCCAAGACATATTTTTTAATTTTGAAAGCTGGGACTCCTATTCACAATGATCCTATGGTACCTTCCTTATCAGCTGAAAAATCTGCCCTATTGGATTCGATGCAGTCTTTGATGCAGAATGCCCTTCCCCACCTGTATGACCTACTCTGTCAGTCCTCTATAACTTTTGTCCTGGTATTATAGCATCCCATTGATTATCTTCATTCCAGCATGTTTCAGAGAAATCTCTTCTGTAATGGCCATTATGTATTGCTAGGCATTCAAGTCCCCGCACCTTTGTTCTTAGACTTCTGAGTGGTGACCAACCTGTGCTTCCCTTGCAGCGGTGGTGGGCAGGACCACCATTACTGGAGGCCATGGAGGAAGCGGCGGTGGATTCGGAGGCGGAAGTGGATTCGGAGGTGGAAGTGGATTTGGAGGCGGAAGTGGATTCGGAGGTGGAAGTGGATTCGGAGGTGGAAGCGGATATGGAGGAGGATGTGGAATTGGAGGTGGCATTGGAGGAGGTGGAATCGGAGGAGGAGGCATGGGAGGAGGTGGGTACGGAGGCAGCTGTGTCAGCGGAGGTGGCATGATCAGCGGTGGTTACTCCTCTGGAAGCGGAAGAGGCTTCAGCTCTGGTGGAGGCAGCATTGGAGGTGGATCCTCATCTGTCAGGAGAAGCAACACGACCACGACCATCAAATCTTCAGGGGGAAGGTGCTAAGCCTGGGAGTCCTTCTTCCCAGGGCAGGAAATATCTCTTCTGCTCTCCTGGCTGCAGCATAGCTCCTCTCCATCTAATCCTGGCATCCAGAAAAGAAACAAACTGTGCCCCTTGCCATTTAGTGCCCTCCATAGACCCTCTTCTGCCAACTGCCCGTGTTCCTAGGGGGAGCCGTGTGAGAAGACACCAGCTTCTTGGACACCGCCACCATGGGCCTGGGATTTCAACAAGGTCCAAAGTCTTGTTCAGACCTAAGCAATATTGAAAAATTAGGGAGCTGTGTCAGGAAACGCATCCCTGGAGGCTAGCAGTTAGCAGAGGGTGGATGAAGGGAGGAGCGCTCTGCCTCTCTCATTGTGCTGTATCTGTTGAGCTGTTGTGACTGCCCTGTGGCAATGTGTATAAAACTTCTTCTTCCCTTCTCTTTCCTGAGTCTTCTTCAATGGCCACATTTCCTTGGGTGCTCTAGTTTACTGCATCGCACGTCCTGCATTTTCTTGCTTTACAAACAGCAGTAGGCCATGCTTTCCCATGTTGAAGTAACAGTTCAGCCCAGTCAGAATTGAGGAAGAGGAAAGTTCCCTGCTGGTGTCTAGAGAGCTCAGTACATCTGCTATCTGGAACAATTAGACAGATGGAGTATTTGGATAGCTCCAGGTGTACTCTAGCCAGTATTCCCCAAAACAAGTAGTTATCAATTCCCCTTCTCTCCTGTCATTCATGAGGATTCCTCCAATTCCATCTGATGTGTGCATGGCTTTTTATTGTGTTTAAAGACCAAAATGGTTTTGGTTAAAGTTTGTGTGATGTGATGTGGTATATGCTGTATTGTGAGCATCTACCTAACTGTTCTCCTCTTGGTATGTTCCGTTTTCTCTGGGTAGGACTATTCTCAATAAACAGCAGACAAATCAAACTATGTCTGGGCGTCCTCATTGTGCCAAGTTCAGCATGCCTTTGAAATGATCCTAAAGGTAAACCGATAGCTGTTCTGTGGTTGGAGCAGAGGAATATAATATAGTTGTTGGCTGGAGTATCCTCAGCTGCATATAAGTGGTATATAACTGAAGGTCATGGACTTATCCCAAATGAGGATTTGGTTCCGTGTTTTGGTTGATAGTTAAGAAGAGAAGGGTTGATCTTATAAGAGAAAATGCAGCTTGAATTCCCTGAAAGAACAACTGGGTTTGGTTCCTCTTAATCTTAGTTTTGCCCTGGTGTAAATCATACCCACTGAAATCAGGGGGCGGGGGGTGGAGGGGGGGTGTCTCACTCACATTCTGGCATAATGGAATAATGATTGGGAACATTACCTTCATAGCACAGGAAGTCAATGAAGCAGTGGAAGAATTTATCAAGGAAACAAAGAAGATTGATTCTTCTTCCTTTGGAGTCTATAAATCTAAACTTTCTAAAGGGTGTCCTGTAAGTCAAACTGTAGGAACAGGAAAGTTTCATAGCTTGCATTATGCAGGACATCAGCCTATGAAAATCACTGTAGTTTCTTCAAGGCCTAAGAATCTGTCCTGGATTCTTCTGTGGCAAATTTCCAAAGACATCCCTACATGGCTGTAGTGCAAATTGAAATTTCTTTTGATGGGGAATTTCTTCTATTTTTGAATTTTTGTTGTACTTGTGAATCTGTATTGAAAGTCGAAACACCAGAAAACATCTGCAAGACAGAGAGTTCACTAGCATTTTGTCTGGATGTTCCCAAAACAGATTGCTTTGTTACATCATGGCTTGACATTAATCTGAGTCCCCTTTAGTTGCTGTAATTCTTCATGGGTACCATAGTTGGAATGTCATGTGTTCCCATTCTTCATGGGCCACGTTATCAGATAGACAAGAAATAATGGCCACAAGCTAGCAGAGAGCAGATTTAGATTGGACATTAGGAAGAACTTCTTCACAGTTCGAGTGGCCAGGATCTGGAACGGGCTCCAAGGGAGGTAGTGCTCTCCCCTACCCTGGGGGTCTTCAAGAGGAGGTTAGATAGGCA